GCATGGTGCAACAGAAAAGAGCATCGCTATAGTTCTGTGGATACACAGCTAAAATAATAGGCATTTTCTGGTGAAAGGAGGGTGAAGGTGCTGGTGATACAAGAGTAACCTGCTCATTCTTTCCTGTCTTCTCTGTGTGCTCACAAAAAAAGCCATGCTACCTCCAAAGAAAAGAAGTTACTGTTAGCAAGCTATCTTGCCTCATTTCTACCTAAAGCTGTCATGGAACAAAGAACATCATTGCTTCTTTTTAGACTGCATGGCAATACGCAGCACAGCCAGAGAATACAGCTGCCTAATTCCTAACCAAGCTCATACCACCTTTGCTCTGAGAAAGAGGTCAAGTATTGCTCTTTATGTGCCAAAGTTGCCCTAGTTGGCTTAGCTTTGGTTTTAATGCCATAGCTGGAAAAGCGTATGTGAATTTTACTTCCTCTCTTTTGATAATTCACCCTCCCCCCCAAAAAAAAAACAAGTATCAAAAGAAGTTTTAGAAAAAACAGAGTCTGAAGATTTGGACGCTGCTGGGAGCCATGCAGAGTCTAATTCTGGCTTGGGTGCAAATTTAATTTGTAGTCTTGAATAAGTCAATTAAATTCTTCTCATCAAGTCTTCCCTCAGTAAAATTGAGAATAATTACTTGCCTTGTAGAGATGCTGCAAAGACTAAGAAAGTAATGAAATAGTTTATTTAATGTGTTAATGTCTCTTAAGAATTCTATAGAAATCTCAATTAAAAGCACAATGGGATAAAAAGTATCACCATTGAAACTAATTAATGAAATAACGACATTGAAAAACTCAGATGTGAAGAATGGAACATAAATCTGCAGTTGCCTGGCAGAGTATATTCAGCTCAGAGAAGAAACTGCTCGTTATTCGCTATGGTGGAACAAAGTCAGTGCAGATACAGGAGGAAATTCTTGTAGCTTATGATACTCTTTTAACAGTGTTTTCCATCATTATCAGTCTTTATTATTCATGGTCTTATAACACTTTGGGCCTTTAGTGGGGACCTGTCCTAGTGTGGTTGGTACCACAGACACAGAAGATAGTGAAGTTCCCCGCCCCAAAGATCTTATGGTCAGAGATCCTGAATGTCCAGCAATTTACATCACACAGGAATGGGACCATAAATGTCAACAGCTCTGTTTACAGACATAAAATTAGTTCGTGTAAATGCATCATCACAGGAGATAAGCTCAAATACATGATGAGAAATGTCACATGGATTCCCCTGGCAGATGCACGAAGCATAAGGTGACAGTGGCATCATTATGGCTGGTGGAATGCCAGCTGTCAGAGCACACCAGTTGCTTAGGTGTGCTCTATGGGTATACGGAGAGATGCGAATTTCAGGGAGGAGGCCAGGAGGAGTCAGGGTAACTGAGTGGCCTTGCAGAGCCTTAGATGGATGTCCTCTGGTGTTGGGAGCCCAAGATAAAGCACAAACATATTTGAAGAAAACTTGACCTTAAATAAGGACGGATGTTGCTGGCAGAGCACAGGCCAGTACCATCAGCATGTATGAGACAAAACACAAGGTGGGACCATGCTGTGGTTGATCTTAAAAGTGAAAAATAGAAGCTTGAGCTGATACATAGACAATAAAAAGCCAGCAGATGGAACAGTAAAACCAAAGACACAGACAGCTTGCAGTTTTATACACGCAGATCTTGGCGCATCCTCAAAATTAATTGCTAACTTAATAATAATAATGCTCTGCTCAAGACATAGTTATCTTGTACCCAAATTAACATGGGCCTTCCCTACCATCTTGTACTGTAAACACAAATAATAGAAAACAAGGCGATCAAATTTGCCATTTTATAAAGGACTACTGAGGAGTAACCATTTCATCCATAGCATTTTTTCACAAGTGATAATGTAAGAAAAAGATGGATCAGGTAAGAAACCCCTGCCTTATCCCCACCACACTCCTCGAGATTGCTGTGCAGCCAGTTCCAGCCGCTATCTGATACAGCAGAAAATGTAAGAGGAGTCAGATGTTGCCAAAAATAAAGCACCAGAAGGGCTAATTCAAGAAGTTCATACCCATTTCCTCCACTCATTCCTCCCTTACCTACACCCTCCCTTTTCCCCTGCTCAGTCCTGTGTCGTTCATTTGTATGGCTGCGTTTTAACAGACGAGGCACAAGCTGTCTGCAGCGGGGAGGGCTGGGAGTCGTAAGAGGGCTTCTGTCGATTTTGGGTTTTATTCCAAACTGATTACTGGCCACGCTTGCAAAGTGAAATTATGTCCCTTGTTCTCCTACTGATATACACACATGGGTACATGCAGACATCTAAACAGTTTTATATTTACAGTGAAGCTTAAGGGGCAGGATATTCAAATATCTCTCAGTACAGCTACTCCAAACTGCAGGATACAGAGCTGCACTGAAAGGTGATGGGCCATTACTCTGATTTTACACACGTGGTGAAAGCCACACCTTCCTCTTTTCCCCATTTTCATTTGACTAAGCAGAACAAGGTTACTTAGCTCGGTGTCTCGTTTCTGTGGTGCGGCAGAGTTATGCTTTATGCAGTTTGCTTGGTGGTATGTCAGTGTGGTGCAGGTCAGGTGCTGTCCTTGAAGATACAGGTCTGTTCATATGATTACATGTCTGTAATTAGCACTGCACAAGCTAAACCGGGCCCTTAGAGGACTCTTTCCTCAGGTCATCCTGCTGTATGAATGAGGAGGCACCAGCTGCTGCTTAGGCCAAATGTCCAGTTGCTTACAATGATGTTTACAGGTGTAAAATAAATGTGCTCTCTGCTCAGGCAAGCTGCTTCTCTCAGTAACAGTTACTGACTTGCCAGTTCACTACGAGTGGGTCTCCACAAACCATGTAAATCCAAGGTACTAAACTGAGTGCTATTTGCACACAAGTCTGTGGGCGGGTAATGGTTTTGTCAGCTTCATGGTCTATTTTGTTTGTATGGCATTCAGTCTCACCTGCAGAAGGTGTCAGTAAGACCTGGTATCTGTGGGGACAGGTCAGAAACAGGCATATTGCCAGTTCTCATCCTATTTTCTGCCACTTGCAGAAATGAGGAGCCTTTCAGTTTGGTATCCCAGCCAAGAGTCACTGTACTCAGGCAAGTGCTGGCTTCTCCACCAGCACCTGGCTGAGCACAGGAGTCCAGCTGACACCTTCCAGTGACACTCCTTTCTGAGACAGCCCTCTCGTGATGGGAAAGATGAGGAGAGTGAAGGGGCTGCCTACTGAAAGAATGCCTGTAAGGGCCAAATCCCCTTTCCAGTAGCTGTGCAACAGATTTTAAGAAAAACAAACAAGCAAACAACTAGTGAATGAAAATATATCAGGATTGGGGGAGGTGGTACATGAATTCACAGCATGCAAGGAAGGTGATTTCTGTACAACCTGTGAAGACTCATGGCTGCAGAGACCTGAGCAGGCTGGGCACATATGTCATGGTGAGAGCAGGCAGGCAACAGCAACAGGCGATGCAGGGGCATCTCTGCGGGGCAGAGCGTGATGCAGCATGGACACAGCGAGCAGCATGCTGCTGCTGCTGACAGACACGCCTGTTGACAGTGTGACCATCACCATCTATGACACTACATAAAACCAGCGGCGTCAAGTGTCTGCTTCATTCATGGTCCCTCACATCTCTGGTGGCCTTTGTGCCATGCTGGTGTAGGTTGGCTGTAGCGATCCCTGTCTTCGTATGATGTTTTAATTTAAAAGTTACGAAATTGTGGAGCTCTCCTGTAGAAAGTACAGGAGAATGAAAAACTGCAGAGCTCCAAAACAGAAAGAGCAAAAATAGATTCAGTGCAATAGAGGTCCACTTTCTGAAGACATTAAACAGTTTTAAGACTACACTAGTAAATGAACACACCCTTTTTATTACTGAGGCAACCAAAGTGGGGAGAATGGAAACAGCCTGTTATAGGTAAAGCCAAATGAGATGTTGCCTAGTAACCCTCAGCAGGGAAGCCTTTAAACCCGGCCAGTTTAGGGAAGCTGATGTTCTGACTCAGATTATTTTTCGCTGGGAAAAAATCTGAAAGCAGGAAAGCTCAATTTAACAAATGTAAGATTTATTTTCTGGTTACAGCAAACCATGGTGACAATGCTTGGGAGAAGACGGAAGTGTTTATAAACTTGTACAAGGAAGAACAGACAAGGCATGTTTTCAATAAAAGCATCACTCTACTGAACATGTTTTCTTGATGCTGATTTTTTTCCTCCAAATACAGTAAACTTCACATTCTTTTTTATTTTCAGATTCTGAAATACACAAGTGGTAACAGAAGTCTGGAGATATTACCCAGATTGTTACATTATTATCATATTGTTTCTGTAAGAGGAAGTTTCTGCAGCAAACCCTACTTCAGCTCTACTATTGGACACAGAATCAAAGGCATGGATTCAAAAGAAGAAAGACTCCGTGTCTCCACTGGTTCGGTTGTCTGAAATAGTTTTAATTAGGCCCTCCTTCAGGACTTTGCTTTTATGGGTTCGTGGAAAAGTCACTTGGCTTGGCTAAAGGTCTTTCACATCAAGGGAAAAAACCCCTCAAACCTTACTTGGAGAGTCATGTTACTTTTGCTTCCCTTTAGAAAGATACGGTGGTTTTACAGAAGTAAAAGCTCTGGCATGATCAGCCACGTACATCTGTATTCCCAGGTGCCACAACTACTGTTCAGCACAGGCAAAGTCAGGTTCAGGAGAGCAATTCATTTCAGCAGCCTCAATACAGTTAACGATCTATTGCATAGTTGGGTTTTTTTTAATTAAAAAAATAAACGGATCAACACTTACATCACTCTAACCATGAAAAGGCAGACTGCCACAGAGTTACCACAAAAATATGTATTTTATTGATGCTGATAATAGGGGGAAAGCAAAGCTGCAATGGCATAAGTACTAAAATTTGAGTTCTGTATTAAAAGCGTGAGAGTTTTTCACAAGCCTGTTGTATGAGCAGTGAAAGGGTGTTCTGTAAGTCACAGAGATCCACTTCTCACTGACTGGAGCCTGGTTTGAAGTTTAATGAAACACTGTTGATACAGAACCTCTGCCCAGAAGGTGTGGGACCATCATCGAAGACGTGGCCTAAATGGGCGTCACACTGCAACAGAAATTACGTGCCATTATTACCACTACAATTATGGACCAACATTATGGCGGTACCTACTGCGCTATCCTGAATGAAGAAACTTGTACAATGAATTCACTGTCGAGTTGTGTGGGTGGGGGAGTCTTGTGGAGAGACTAGAAATACATCCTGGAGTAATCACCTCTGGCCAGCGGGTGAATATCCGCCCCCAAAAAAGCAGTCGCAGCAGAGGAAGGCAAAAGGTACCAATGCCAGAAAGTATAGGAAATAAATGGGATGATCTAGAATTCTCAATACTTAATGAAAATTTCAAGTGAATTGAGACAGTCACTGTAGGTCCTTCTCACAGGTCAAATGAGGATTCCTTCCCCTCCCTCCCAGAAAAAATGATGGGAAAAAATTAGACTGAGAATAGCTATCAGTGGCTCATTATAAAATTGTAAGGTTGTTTTCAGCTGGACTTCTTCAAAGGCAATTGCTGGATATTACCGCAATCGTGAACTCCACCATGGTAATGGACTGCAGCGAATGCTGGTTACGTTCGCAAATAGTACCTAATCCTGCTAGAAGGGGCTGCAGGCACGCTGGAGGACAGTGTTGGAATAAAAAGCAATCTGAACAGTTTGGGAAAACAGGCACAAAAAGTTCCAAGATGCAAGCCATTAAACTCAACTGCATACTTTTATACCTTTACAGAAGTAATAAACAGCACAGATTTAGGGTTGGGAAAAAATCGTTAGGGGTGGCAGTTCTTCAGAAAAAGACCTGGGTATTACAGCAGGTCCCAGTAGAAGTATGGGTGATGAGTAGGGGAAAGGTAAAGGAGTAAAGACGGGAATGCTGTCTATAATGCACCTAAACAGCCTCTGATCTCTGATGCAAGCTAGTCCCAGCTGCAGCACCATGTCCAGCTTTGCACTGTTCTTCAAGAGGGAAAAAGCTCAATTGGAAGGAGTGTAAAATAAAGCAACAAGTGGATCAGCGCTCTAAAACACACTGCATGAAAAGGAACAGTTGAAGGAACTGGCCCTTGCTAGTCTAGAGAAGAGATGATTGAGGGAGTCAAAAGCTTCCCAAAAAAAGAAGAGTGGCTCCTGTGAAATGAGAGAACCCACGGAAGATAGCTGTGAAGTTGCAGGGCACCACGACCGCCGTGCTGGACCAATAGTAGTAAGCTTCAACTGCTGCAAATCAAACTTAGTGTTTAAAAACCCAGTGCCTAAGACACGAAGGTTACAACTCATTACCTAGTAAGGCTGTAGAGTCTCCACCACTGCCTATTTTAAGAATAGCTTCAGCAAACATCTAGCAGGACTAAATTAGGAAGAACCAACCCTGTGATGGGGCAAATAAGTGGACTAACTCTCGGAGTCCCTTCTACTGTCTGTTGCCACATCCTGTGGTTCACCTGAGGCCCTCTATGTAAAGCTTCTGTCTAAACTCCAGCCCTTGGCTGTACTTACACAACCACTCTCCCCAGTCACATCATTTTCTTTGCCCCAAACCGTCTGTATTTGATACTTTGGACGCTACTCGTGTTTCATACCAAGTGAGACAGAACGGTTCCAGTGATACCATAATTCTCACTGCTGTATTTAGGTAGATTCATTCACGGGCACAAAACCCCCTTATTTGTTAAGTTTTGGGTCTTTGGATGTTACCTCCAAAATAAACATACCTGTTTGCAGACAACTTCAGTTCTGCTCGATCCCAATGAGTTATCTGGTCGTCTCATGATATTGGTATGACTTTCATCTCCGCCACAAGTACCGTAAGCCTCAGAAAACGATGGCCATCCAGTCCCAGAATTGTACTTCTTTTCTGAGCTATAGTGGAAACCAGATCTTCTTGTTAATTAAGAACAGAGATGTTACAAAATGTCTGGTTTTAATAAGAACATTGGCTTTTTTCCACATCTTTGTCTCATAATACTATTAATAATATTTGACACAGTAGAAGTTTTCTCACTGGCATCAAACTGTGGTGGAACCTCTTTTCCAAAGGGAATTCTTGGTCAGCCCACAACAGGAGCTATTGCCTCACCATTTCTATTACACTGACAGTTTGGCATTTTATAAAGCTTGAAGAAAGGTTTTTCCAACAACTGAGCATATTATTTAGCTGAATTACACCTGCAAAGTTGCAGTTCGAAGCCTGGCCCAATACAGCACAAGCTCAAAGAAGAGTTTACAAGAAGAAACGAGTATGGAAAATCAGTATGGGAAATCACTGGGTTGGCCCACCGGACCAGGCTCTCATCCGATGATGGCTTCGGCTTGCAGTCAGCCATCAAAACGGTTTGGTGAATCAAACAGAGCCTTGCTCAAACCATCAATCAACCAATGACAAATCCTCACAGCACAAAGATCTGCTTTTTCCAGGAGATAATTGCAGCCATCAGAAACAGAACTACAGATTGTCAGCTTGTGGATGCCTCCTGCTGACATCCAGGGTTATCAGCCCCATTTAGCTGCATCTTAAAATCTAGAACATATTGGACAATATGATCAGAAAATATTTTGGGGATTTAGCATACAGAAATGAGATAATCCCTCCTATTTAAAGGTGTGCAAGTTTAGATAGCAGTAAGTACTTTCTTCTAGTGAAGAGTGACCTAGTGTGAGAGTTATGGGTTTGCGTGGCAAGGTTTTGGAAGTGGGGGGGCTATAGTGGTGGCTTCTGTGAGAAGCTGCAAGAAACGTCCCCCATGTCTGATAAAGCCAGTGCCAGCTGGCTCTAAGATGGACCTGCCGCTGGCCAGGGCCAAGCCAATCAGTGACGGTGGGACATGATGAAGACCATGGTGAGGCAGGCTGTCTCCCTGCAGCCCATGGAGGTTCATGGTGGAGCAGATATCCACTTGCAGTCCATGGAAGGGACCCCACACCAGAGCAGGCGGGTGCCTGAAGGAGGCTGTGACCCCACGGGGAGCCCGCGCTGGAGCAGGCTCCTGCCAGGACCTGTGGACCCACGGAGAGAGGAGCCCACGCCGGAGCAGGTTTGCTGGCAGGGCTTGTGACCCCGTGGGGACCCATGCTGGAGCAGCCTGTTCCTGAACCTGGTGGGAAGGACCCACACTGGGGCAGTTCGTGAAGAGCTGCAACCTGTGGGAAGGACTCATGTTGGAGAAGTTTGTGGAGAACTGTCTCCTGTGGGAGGGACCTCATGCTGGAGCAGGGGAAGAGTGTGAGGAGTCCTTTCCCTGAGGAGGAAGGAGCAGAAGAGACAACGTGTGATGAACTGACTGTAACCCCCATTCCCCATCCCCCTGCGCCGCTCAGGAGGAGGAGGTAGAGAATTGGGAGTGAAGTTGAGGCCAGGAAGAAGGGAGGGGTGGGGGGAAGGTGTGTTAAGATCTAGGTTAATTTTCTCACTCTCCTACTCTGATTTGATTGGTGATGAATTAAACTCCCCTTTCTCCTCAAGTTCAGTCTGTTTTGTCCATGACAGTAACTGGTGAGTGACCTCTCCCTGTCCTTATCTCAACCCTGGAGCCTTTCATCATATTTCCTCTCCCCTGTCCAGCTGAGGAGGGGGAGTGATATAGCAGTTTTGGTGGGCACCTGGCATTTATCCAGGCCAAACCAAAATAGTGAGTTAGGGTGAGAAACGAAGACAGACTCGCATACTACTAAGAGAAGTGGTCTGGAGACCCACCGCGATTTCCCTTCTAGTCGCCCAGTTTCACAAACCCAATGCCTTACTGGCATCTAGTGGTGGACGGAGACACCAACACCAGCAGCAGCTTTGCTGTGATCGAAGGGATTAGTCCATTAGTCAATATAGAATTTAAAGCAAAATATCAATTACATACCATGTATATTTTGGTGGGATATTGATACAGTGAAGAAGAATATGAAAATCTTGCAATGCCTTGTAGACAGACAAGACAAACAAGCAGGGCAAAAAGCTTAAAAAATCCAGCCCAAAGAACCGTGCATGCTTTAGCAGGCATTTTATGATAAACTGTTTTTGAGCAACACAGCTGTGGAAATAAAAGAGGATTTGGAAACACAGAATGACCAAAGTCTAGTTTTGTGCAGGCTCTTGCTCAGCCCATTGCATCAACACACGAAGACTCACGAGCAATGCTCTCCCACCTCCTCCCATCCATAAACCCAGGGAGAAATAGGACAAAACCATGACCGCTGTGCCTACCAGCCACAGAGTCCCAAAGAATAACCTCGGGGAACACAAATGTCCGTACATGACTTCTGAGTTTCCCTGACACATACCTGTGCTGGTTTTTTATTTTGAAAAGATTTCAGTCAGAACTCTTCATTTTCTGACGCAGGGATCCTTCTGCTTCGTACACAGATATGAGGATCCTCTCTGAAACCCTGTGGAGCCAAGGAAGGTCTTTAATGCTCTCTGGGTTTTGCATCTGACCCTGACTGACTCCGTCCCTCACATGCCGCTCACAATACTCATGTTTATTGTAGATGTTTTCCACTGCTAAAGGATCAATCTTTTGAGCTGTTAAAGTAGCTCTCAACAGAAGTGGTCTCTGTGTGGTTTTACTAACAGTAATATCACTTAGATTCCCTAATAGAAACATTTTAGTACCCAAAAATACTGCTGTTCAAGATCATATTTGTCCTTTGAAGTATTTCACCACTTAATTTATGGATAAATGGACTTTCCCTAAACATATGCATTAGATTAGCCTTCGACACACCATTCCTCCAGCACATGTCATTTACTTTGATCCCTATTTCAGTTGTCCTGGATGGAATCCAGATAATTCTAAAAAGTGCTTTTTGCTGTATGAATCTCAGCTGTAGGTTTACGGTTCGCTGAAGGTTTGAGATTTCATTAAAGCACCACAATTTGCTATCTATAAAGGTTAGGGTTTTGTTCCGTGTATTATTTCCAACTCTTTCAAATGAATATTTGGCAGCAGAAGGTAATAAATTCTGGAATAAATGTATACACACACGTGTACTTTGAAAGGAAGGAGGAAATGCTTCATGTTTACCTGTAGCTGATGAGGTAATGCATTTGAAAAAGAAAGGACATATTTAATGCACGAGGAAATAAACATGATGAATGAATGTCCTATCAAATACCTTTTTTTTTTTTGCCTCATTGTTAGTGTCCTCCACAACATAATGCATTCATGGAAAAAATATTTTCAGACCATTTTGCACGCTTAATCATTTTCAATTTTCTTAAAAGGTTTTTTCTGTAAGTTTGGGTTTGCTTTTTTTTATTTCCCTGTATCAGTCTGTAAGGCTCAGGATTATTTTATGTTTAAACAAAGTACCTGTATTCTCTGAGAGCTGGATGCTGCAAAAAGCAGCGTGTCTGGCTGGTTACATTGTTGGTTTGTTACTAGTTTAGCAGCAGCAGCAATTCCCTTCAGTGCTCACCCCTCTTCGTGTTGGCCTCTCAATATCTATTGTCCAGTATAAAGGATGTCTAAATTGAAGGAACATTTGAAGGAACACTTTCCACAGCTTAGTAATTTAAAATTTCTCTAATTCGTCTGACTTTTCCAGAGGTATTTTTATTTGTCTTCAGCATATCCTGCAATGCTGCACTAGCTTCTGAAATAATTTTATTTAAAAGCATTTATTAGCAAACCTTTACAGAAAAACATGCATTTACTTAAACATTCATTTGCACGACAATAGTTTTCTGTACTCAGCCAAAGGAAAACTGTTGACAATTATTGGCCTCCAATTTTACCATTTAATTGCTTACTTTAGGTTTATTTTTAATATAGCCACTACATTTTTTCCCCTTTTACCGTCCAGACCTCTTGTTCCTCAACTTTCCATTTGAAGTTCTGATCTGTGATGCATCCTTTAAAGTATTCATAAAAATGGGCATATCAGCCGTCTTCCATTGAACTCGCAGTTGGGAATATATATAAAGGCTATTTTCTAGATCAAAAATATGAGGAACTGTCTTTTCTGGTTCAGTTACAGAGAACAGAACACCCACGCACATCCTGCTCCGAGGCACTCTCTTTCCTTTTACTTAGACTTTAATGAAGCTGCAAAATATACAGTATTGTAAAGAGCGCAGAGGTTAATGGCACAGTTGTTCGCAGTCAGGTTTTAAAAAGTGGAAGTAACCAAAAAGGCAAAAATAGTGGAATTTAATTTAGGGAACAAGAAGGTGGTGGGGGTGCAGAGGAGGTCCCAGCTGCGGTGCTGGGGACCCAGCAATAGGGACGTGACAGCAGCTGGGCTGAGGCAGAGCAAAGGTCTCTCGCTAGCCCAGCAGCAGGACTGGCAGAAGATGGCTGTGGGAGAGCACAAGAACGGAGCAAACATATAGCGATACACAGAATTATTATCAACCGGAAAGGACAGCGTGCGTGGCAGGAGAAAAAGGCAAACCCTAGCGTAGCAACTGCCGTCTGCTGGGCGCTGGAGACCCTCATACGCTCGAGGAAAGGGCACACCACGTATCTGTGTCACTGCAGGTACCCTGGAAATCTTGCAGGTAGCTCTCTGGCACCAAAGGATTGTTTTTCCCACCTACACTTTCCCTTCCTCTCATGAAAACACACTGCCCTCCTGCCACAGTGAGGATGTTTCAGGATACCGTGAAATCTGGCGGGTGTTACCTGAACAGCGGGGCACTGCAGCACACGCAGTAGTATATTCCCGATTCTGTGTTATTCAGATAGATCCCACTAAATGGCTTTTAAAAAAGGAAGAAAAAAAGAGAATTTAATAATGCAGGTCTTTAAAAGCTCACCATCTGGAACAAGCATGTAGGCATCAGATTCAAACCAGAAGAAAAACCATAAAAAGAAGGCTTCACAGGGGGGCTTTGAAGAACAAACATCAGCAGCCTAGAGAAATGAAGGGGAGGATGGCCTTGGATTAACAGCGAAGACTACCCCCTGCCCCCAGAAACTTCGAGAGCAGTTGGATGCGTAAATCATCCAGGTACTAGGGCCGGAGTCGTGACCTCCGAGGAACTTGTGAAGCGTGCAGGACCTAAAGACCAGGGCTCTGCTGTGGAGTGCCACAACTCCAAAGTGACCCCGCAAAGGGACTGTCCTCCTCCCTGCGTGGTCTGGAATTGGGATCCTTATCTTACAGGTAAGGATTTGGGTACGGTTCGCATGGTTTGGTCCCACGGTACATGTTCTGTGCACGCAGGAGCCCTGGCTCTGGGCTAGGGATGTTGGCGTGGCCTCCGTCACAGAGGGAAGCAAGGCGTGGGTGAATGCTCTGGCACACGAGGGATAACCCAGCTCCTGAAGGGAGTGCCGTGTGTAAGATTCCATGGCTAATCTGCGTATGGTCAATAAAAGGAGACTACATGACAAAAATGTGATCTCCCTCCCCTCTGGAGAGGCCTCCACTACTGCCACATGGACGGCTGAGCTGGAAGTGAAGTATCCCGGAAAAAAAACCCAAGAAGAATGCAGAATGTTTTTTCATCTGCAAACCAGCCTGGATCAGAACAAAAATCCACCTGGTTCAGTACGAGCCCAACTTTCATCCCAAGGAAGGGAGGGGGAAACCTGTGGAACAACTGGATGGTGGCAGCTCCCCAGGGCAGGTGCTCCTCTGCCCAGCGGCTGGGGAGGGGGCTCAGCCCCGGGCAGCAGCCGCGCTTTTGCTTACCGGTTCCGTTCCTCTTTCTCTCGTGACATAGAATTGCTCTGGAGTCAACTTTTTTTTCCAGTCTGCAGCCACAGTTGCTTCAGCTTGTTTAGTCAGAGAGCCCGTGTCTTCCATTAGATGCAGAAAGATAATTTGTATTATTTCTAACACCGCCTTAGCTTAGACTCTGCTGATGTTTTCCATCATCACCTCAATCCTCCCCAGGTTTCTGGGGGTACAGGCAGAGTGCAGGAGGACAGCTCAGGGATGTAAGAGCTGGCGTGAGTGCAGGACTTTGCATCTGCTCCACCTTTTGAGTGCCACGCATGGAGAGCAGCTCCAGGCCACCGCTTGGGAAGACTCTGCAGGGGGAATGGGCACCTGCCGCCCAGGGTCCACCCGCTCGCCCAGCGCAGCCCTCTGCCCTGGCTTGGGAGAGCTGCCGGTGCTCCTTCCTCGTCCCTGGGTGTCGCGGAAAGGCTCGGCAGTTGTTTGTCTCTTGGAAACCCTCAGGAACCAGAAGCAGTGCTCATTTGTGGGCTGTTAAAGACTAGCGACATCCACAGACCCCAGTGAAAGGCAGCGCTAAGAAGGAGCCTGGCTGAAAGCAACACCGACAGCCCGAGAGAAGTGGGGCTGTGGTTAAGTGGGTGGCACACAACGGGAGGGCAGAGGCCCCCCATCATGGTGCAAACCTCTGACACCGCCTGCTGTGAGTCTGTACACACCCTTGCCATGAGTCCGTACACACCCTGCAGCACATGTGTGGTGGTGTGAGACTGGCAAAGCATTAATAGATTTGCTGAGAAACAATGAGTAAAAGAATTTCATTCCTTCCTAATCAAAAATTCTGAGGTGGGGAACTACCTCCACACTTATCTCCCATCAGCGTAGGAGCCTTAAAAAAAAAAAATCAGCTCCTGAGTGATGAGCGCTTGCCTGGACTGATTTATTGCAATGCAGAGGTGATACTGGGCGGGCGGGGGAAGGAAGGAATGTAAAAATCACAGTTTAACTATAAAAACCGTAGTTTAGCCTGCCAGTTCAAGAGAAATACCTACAGCAGGCTGACTCAGCCCTTTCCAGCTGGCTAGAGGACACCGGGGACGGGGAAGCCCTCCCCTTGCATGGCTGCGCCTGCCCTTTCCCCCCATCCCCGCGCTCCGGGCGGAGGGTACCTGTGCCG